CCCTCCCCTTCCCCCTTCGCCTCCTATGTGCGCTGGGTCTCTGGGGTTTTGCGCTCTCATGCTGCGGAGGTCGCCGGCGTGCACTTCAACCTCACGGGCGGCAGGCACGCGGAGGTGGTCGAGGTCGTCGGCGTCTACCAGGTGGGCTTGAAGTCGGGCGAGTCCCCTCACAGGAGGAACATTTGATGGGCCTGTGTTCCACCACCACCACCACCACCACCACCACCACCATCACCACCACCACCACCACCACCACCACCACCACCACCACCACCACCACCATACATTGCAGGGGGAAGGAGGAGGGAGAGGAGGAGGAGGAGAAGGAGGAGGAGAAGGAGAAAGAGGAGGAGTGGGAGGAGGAGGAGGGGGAGGAGGAGGAGGAGGAGGACGAGGAGGAGGAGACGGAGGAGGAGGACTCCCTCCCCCTCCAACTTATGGTGGTGGTGGTGGTGGACAACAGGCCCATCAATGTTCAAAAGTCATCAGTAAATCGTCGGGGACGATGCTTTGAGCATTCTTCTGACTATTTCAGGGCATGTCTTCAGTATTTTTCATTTTCCGTCCAGAATCCGCCTGTGGGGGGACATATGCCCGACCTAATGCCAGGTGGACCAGCTGTGCAGGGGGGCGCTGGCCTACCTGGAGTCGCTGCGCCTGGCGCTGGGCTCTCCGCGTCGTTGAATCTCAGAGGAGGAAAGGTACCGAGGTACCCATGTTTCTGCGCTTGAGTCGGGCGTGTTCCTCTACAGGAGGAATATTCAAAAATAGCGAAAACATGGTTAGGGGGCGATTTTGGATTAATGTTGCATACGATTTGGCTATAACCTGACAATTTGTTATGTATGTTTTCGCCCAAAAGCCGCCTGTAGTGGGACACGCCCGACCTAACTCTACTCTTTCTTGTCTTCCCTTGTTGGGCCTCATTGGAGGCCCTCGTCGCCACCTCTAGATTCGCCTCGAAATCCTTGTCAGAACGCACCCCAGGAGAGGTCCGTGGAGTAGCGGTATCGGTACTTTTTGGTTCCCCCAGACATGATCGCGTCGTAAAACAAATCAGGTCGGGAGTTGTTTGGTTATTTTCGGCCCCGGGGGGCCTTCGCTGGGCCTCGGGACCGTCAGAAAGCAACTCAGGACGAAAAAACGGTCCCAGGGAAAGGGTCGGGACTTCAGGGACGCCGTCCTGAAAAAATCAGGACGTCGCATGTCTGGGACCGATCCCTATCCCTCTGTCCATCCCCGTCCAGATCCCCACCATCCCACCACCCTAGTTTGGAGGGTGCCCCTCGAGACTCGAAGGGAGCAGCCTGTGTTCCCATCCAGGGGGATAAGTCGGCCAGTGGGGCCCAGGCCACGCTCGTGGGGATAGGACTCGGTTCAACCGTGCTCAGGCTCGATGGTGTGCCCGGCGCGGTTCCGTGGCGAGAGCGGGCTGCTGGAGAAGCTGGGCCAGTTCTTCTCGGCGGTTTCAAAGATGGGGCCCTGAGTGCTGGGGCCCCTGATGCCCGTTCGTAGGAGCCCCTGGAGCGGCGACGCTGCAGTCAGCTCGTTGTCTGCGTTCGGACCGCGTTCGGCCCTTCCTCCTGCTCCTTCTCGCCCTTCCTGATCCTCCTCGCCTCGTCCTTCTCGTCTCACGTGCGAAGGCCACCGAGCGCGTTCCACTACTCGCAAAATGGCCAACTCGCAAGCGTCCGAAACCGAAGTAACACGAGTTTGTTCCGGTCAGACATGCATCGCAACTCCCCCACGTCGCATCCGGGCCATTCGCGATTAGCTCTTCTGCGAGCAGTGGAACGCGCTTATCTAGAAGGGGCGAAGGCAGTCCAAGACCGGTCCCAACTGGAGAGCCGCCGCGAAAGCCGCCCGAGGGCCACGGCGAGGGCCTCTGCGAGGGCGGCTGCGAGGGGGGCGGCGTGGGCGCGCGGCAAGGGCGGCGGCGAGGGCGGCGGAGAGGGCCGCATGGAGCACCGCCCCGGCCTTCGTCCCTCAACTCCTGGATCCTCGCCCCTGGATCCTCGACCCTGGATCCTGGATCCTCAATCCTCGACCCTGGATCATCGACCCTCGACCCTGGATCCTGGATCCTCAATCCTCGTCCCCGGATCCTCGACCCTCAACCCTCGACCCTGGATCCTGGATCCTCGACCCTCGACCCTCGACCCTCGACCCTCAACCCTCGACCCTGGACCCTGGATCCTCGACCCTCGACCCTCGACCCTGGATCCTCGGCCCCAGATCCAGGCCGGGGGGGGGGCCCACGGGTGCCTTCGGAGAAGTGTTCTGAGCCCTTCCCGAAGGGACAAAAACAGCTCCTCAGAAGGCGCGAGGCCTTCTGAGACGCGCGGACAACAGTACACGCCGGTCGTTGAAAGTAGGTATTTTTGCTGTTTTTTTTTGCAATCCTGTGTTTTTTTGCAGGATTCTGCTTTTCTCCTTCCCTCCTCTTCAGGGGGCGGGCGGAAGCTCAATCGTCTTCCAACGCCTTCCTACTTCATGTGTCTACCCACTTCTCTCGACTGGCGTGTATACTCCAGATTTCGTAATACAAGGGAGGGAGTCACAATCCTCCCAGACCACAAGTTTTAGACCCCCCCAGACCATCCATGAAAGGGCGGCACTTTGCCCAGACCCCCCCTAACCCTTCAAGACAGCTCAAATCAGACCCCCCCGCCAAATGTACCCCCCCCTACTTTATTATGGAATCGGGAGTACCCATTCTGGTCCACGCCGGGCCCACGCCGGACCCCCCCCGGGGGGCCACGCGTGCCCTGCAGCTGTGGAGCGGAGACCTCGGGACGGGCCCCGGAGAGGACGGGTGGCCTCGGGGAGGGGGTGTCCCAGCCCTTGGGCTGCCTGTCCCAGCCCGTCGGGGCCCCCAGCCTCAGCCACGCGCTAGGGGGGGGGGGGCTCGTGGCGGCGAGCCCAGGGGGGAACTGAGAAGGAGAAAGCCTTCTCAGAGGGTTCGGGAGTCCCCCGGCTTTGTGGGTGAGAAGCTTTCGAGGCATGCCCCGAAGGCAGACAAAGACTCAGCAGGCGCGGTGGTTTCTGAGAAGCCCCGCCGCCTTCTCAGAATGCCTTCTCCTTCTCTCTTCCCCCCCTCGCCCGCCGCCGAAGAAGAAACAACGAAAGTCATGGGCCAGACAACAAACGCTCGTGTTTCTGACGACTGCTTCTTCTTCTTCTTCTTTTTCTGTTTCTTATTCTTCTTCTTCCTCTTCTAGTGCACTCGGACCGAGGTATAAGATCGAGGTCGGTTCGGGGAGGGTGCCCCAATGTTCTTCGTGTGCGCTGGATGTTCTTGTGCACCCTGGGGCAGAGGAGGGTGCCCTCAGATGTTCTGTGCGTTCTGGCCGAAGGAGGGCCTCATGCTCTTGAGGAAGGTGTTTCTGGCCTAGGGGGAGGGGGGGAGGCTTCTCTCTCAGAAGCACCACTGCTTCTGAGGAGGCGCGGGCCTTGTCTATGGCTGTAATGCCCACGCCTTCTAAGCAGCGGCCTCCTAAGAAGCCTTCCCCCCTCCTCCTGCCCCCTTGTTTGCGCCGCCAACATCCCCTTGGGCCCCATCTTTGAACAGCCGTTCTTCGTGGAAATACGCTACCTGGCGGGGGCTGGGGGGGACAGCGAGGCTCGAAGAGGAACAACAAGTGGATAGCAACGTACATTGTCGAGGGTCCGCGCGTATTCCTGGGATCTGCTCTGGGACCCCACCCTGACGCGCGGAGCGAGAATGGGGCATGGCATCGCCCGAAGCGCCGCCAGGGAGCCCAGTGCCGATCCACAAGATCTGCGCGGATCTCCGAACCTGGATGTTTCTGGAGTGTTTGTTGTGTTCTTTGGAGGCGTCGGCCGGGGCGGCGGCCGCGTGGGACAATGCTGAGCAGGAGCTGCGGAAGGTGTCCACGCGCCTCGAGGAGTGGGCGGCGCTGTCGCGGGCTGGGGCGGCGCAGTTTGACGCCCAGTCCTACAGCGCGTTCAGGTCGATCTTGGACCGCATGTACGAGATGATCTCGGACTTCACGCGCTCGATGGCCGAGGAGCAAGTGGTCATAATAGTGGCATGTTCCCTCATTTCCTGGGCTTTCCCAGATCTCCCGGATTCCCGGCTGTTCGGGCCGAAGAGAGGGCTGCTAGGGACTCTAGAAAATTCTTGGCACGCACCCGGAGCCAGTCTCCTGCCATGAGATCCCTCCCGCCCTGGAGCATAGAGGACCTGGGCGGGCTGCTGCGCGCGCCGAACTTCCTGCCCCGGGAGATGTTCCCAGACCCCCCGGGGGCGCGCCCGCCGGGCGCGGGCCTGGCCTCGAGCGTCTTCGCCGATTCCCCGCGCGGGCGCTCCCTCCGGCACGGCTTCCTGGAGGCCCTGCGCCGGCCGGTCCCGCCGCTCGCGCAGCCGGCGTTCTCGCCGGGCTTCGAGGATCGGGGGTGGACAAACCTCCCTTTAGTAGACCTCCCCTTAGTGAAAATGGCCTGGGCCCGAAACCGACGGACCTGGACCCGCAAAATGACGGCCGCGACGCCCTCTCGCGAACCGAAAACGGCCAATTCCTTAATCGACGTGTCAGGGTAGGAGGTCTGTCCACCCCCGAGAGGAGTGCGCGGAGCTGCCGCCGGCGCGGACGCCCGCGGGGCTGCCGCCGGAGTTCCTGGACGCCCCGGCCGCCTGGGCGCACCGCGACGTCTCGGGCGGGTCGCGGCGCGTCGCCTCGCCGATGCAGCGATGGGCAGATTCTCCACCACCGCTACCAGATGTAGGACGGGGGAGAAGGGTGGATGAGGAGGTCCTCCTCCCCCTCCTCTTCCTTCTCCTCCTCCTCCTCCTCATCCTCCTCATCCCCCTCCTCCTCATGCTCCACCTCCACCTCCTTTCCCCGTCCGCCCTCCAACTCATGGTGGTGGTGGTGGTGGTGGAAAATGGGCCCATCATGCAGCTGCTGCTGGCGGCGGCGCAGCACACCCGGCTCTCGGACCTCTTCATCTCGAAGAAGAAACAACCACCTAATAATAAGCTTTTGGCGCTCCGCGCGGATTTCTTGGATCCGCGCTGGGACCCCCCTGGCGGCGCGCTCCGCGCGCCAGTGGGGGGGGTCGGTCCATCGCGGATCCGAAAATCCGCGCGGGGCGCCAAAAGTTTCTGTTGATGAGGTTTTTTCTTCCTCGATCCTCTCCGTGCAGGTGTCGCCCTACGTGCTCTCGCCGAGCCCGGAGTGCGGGTCCAAGGAGGTGGCCTACGACCCCAGCCACTGCCTGCTGGACCAGGGCTGGGCGGGATACTTCTTCCAGATGAACCCCCTGCCGCCGTACAACTTCACCGTGGTCTACGCTGGGAAGCCCCTCGGCCCCGGCGTGCGCATGCCGCAGATGGACGTGCACAGCATAGACGTGCCCTCCATGGACACGCAGTGGAGCAGCCTGGTGTCCACGTTCAAGTCCATGAACCACCACAGCCCCGACACCCTCTTCGTGAGCCCCCTCCTCGGCAACTGCCTCATCCTGGACCGGCTGCTGGGGACGGGCTCCGTGCGGCCCAAGCTGATCTACGCCCCGATCAACCCCTTGGCGGCTCCGCCGGCCGAGGACACGCCCAACCTCGTGCAGTGGTGGAGCGCCCACGCGCAGGACTTCTTCGACCAGCTGACCGGCCAGTGGCAGACCACCAACGTGAACCACGTGCCAGTGACCACGTCGATCTGGCAGGCTCAGTGTTCGCTGGCTTCCACGGACAAGATTCTGCACAAGCACGGTTACCGCCTGTTGCATGTGGAGCACACCTATGCTAGGATGCAGCTCCGGCACAAGTTTGTTTTTCTAGTCCAGCTTAAGCCAGCCAGGTCGCCTCAACACCGGGCCTCATCTGGGTTTCTTGCCTCAAGGCATCCTTACCCTGTGTCTCTCGACCATATAATCTAGCTCATCTGACTTCGCGAACAAAAATGCAACATCGTGGAAAATCGCAGCTAGAGCCCCAGACCCCATCTTTCTGCGTCCTGGGCTCCGAGAACGGGTGAGGACGCCCAGTGCGAAAGAATAATTCGACGCCAGGACCTCTGGTCTACGCCTCCTAATCGGGGTCCGAGCTTGGATGGGGTCGAAGGATTCGGCCGCATCGCCGGTGCATCGGCGCTGTGGCTCGATGTGGAGCCCGGTTTTCTCCACGCCGACATCGCTGATGCATCGCCGACGTCGACGATGCATCGCCCGTGTATTGGCGATGCATCGGCGAGGCGGCGTGATCCTCCCGGTCCATCGACTTAGGCCCCATGCGGGAGGCCTTTGTCAGGGGACCTCATGAAGGAAAGCCCACCCCGCGCATCATTTTGCGGTTTCGCTACGGGGGGGGCCCATCGCCGATCTATGGGTTGTGCAGCGTCGCTTCCAGGTTGCTGCTTTCCCCCTGAGCATGTTCCCCCCTCACGTTGTCCCTCGAGATCCGTGTGTAGCCAGGTCCCTGTAGGAGGGGACCAAGCGAATGACAGGGCGGGCCCTGGAGCCAAAGTCTATGCCAGACTCACTAAATCGGGTCTGCCGTAGCTGTGTGCTTCTGGCTGACGACAGTTCCCATCATTGGAACGGGGCAGGGGAGGCGTTCCCAAGCACACATCACAAAACCAGGTCCCGCTGAACCCAGTCCTGCCATTGCCCGAAGCCCGAAGCCCCAACGCCCGACATCGTGTTCTTTCACAGCACCGACCCCCAGAGGTCCGGACCTATCCCCTGGGACGGGCTCTTCGTCCCGAGTCGTTCTGTTGACGCTCCCGAGGCCCCGCACGGGCCCCCAGAGGCCGCAACGAGCGAAACGCCTCCCGCCGTGATTTCTTTTCTCGCAACGCCCCAGAGATCCGATGTCGCGATTTTTTCAAGACGCGGCCCCCAGAGGTATCGACCCGTTCCCCAGGACCGGTTTCTCGTCCCGAGCCGTCTCTTGACGGCCCCAGGGCCCGGCTATGGCTCCTCCAGAGGCCGAAGGCTGCGAGAAACCTCCGCCTTGATTTTTCAATTCGTTGGATCTCTGGGGCCAGGGGGTCTGGGATCACCGAGCGCGTTCCACTACTCGAAAAGTGCCTACTCGCAAACGCCCGAACAAGAACAGGTGTCTGCTTCGATGTAATTAAACGTAGATCCCCCGCGGTGGATCCAGGCCACTTGCGAGTAGTTTCAAGTCGGGCCTGTCCCTCTTCAGGAGGAATCTGAGAAAATCGTTCAAACATAACTAGTCTGGCGACGATTTGTTTTACAATGCTTGATTATGTTGGGGGCATTGTTTTGGTATGTTTGATTCAAGAGTACTGTTTTGGGGCATGCTTTTTTTCTATGGGGCACTTGGGGTGGTATTTTCGTTGTTGTTTTTGTTTCTTTTTTTCCTCAAAATCCGCCTGTAGGGGGATCTGTTTTCTTGAAGAGCAGTCACCCTGCGAGACGTGTGACGTGCTCGTCCATGGGAAGGCGCTGCATCCTGGCCCGTGCCACCTTCATGTGGACGAAGCTGGCCGACAAGGCTCGGGGGAGCGTAAGACCCGGGTTTGCCAGGACTCGGGTTCGCCATCGTTTTCTGACGACCGCGATTCGGATTCTGACGAGTAGGAGTTTCGTGGGATATCTGCAGCGGGAGGCCTCGTCAAAATGCAGCCTCGGCCCCGTCATTTTTTTGACGACCTCGTCGGGGATTTCCGAGTCCCCTGTACCCAGGTCTTACGTCCCCCCGAAAGGCCTTCGGCCCGGCCCCCGCGGGGGCCGCTGGAGCCGCCCCCGCCGGCGAGGCCCCGGGCCTCGCGGGGCGCACCGCGGTGGCGGCCGGCGCGGCGGAGGGCGGCGCGGGCGACCGGGGAGGGCGAAGGGGCGACCTGTAAGTCGGGCCTGTCTCTCCCCAGACCCCCTCGAGTCATGAAAAAATCACGACGGCAGGTTTTTCACTATTGTCGGCCCCCGGGGGCCCATACCGGCCCTCAGGACCGTCAAAAAACGACTCAGGATGAAAAACCGGTCCCGGGGAATCGGTCCGGATCTCTGGGGGTCGCGTCATGAAAAAATCATGACGTCGGGGGTCTGGGTCTACAGGAGGAAAATTCAAAACCAGTTTAAACAATAGCCTGGGGGCGATTTTTGTTTAAGCATTTTTTGTTGTTGTTGTTGTTATTTTGGGGGGCATTTCTGGGGCCTTCTTTTCAAATTTTGTCGTCCAAAGTCCGCCTGTAGGGGGACATGTCCGACCTGAGGCAGCCTGCGGCGGGATGAACTGAGCTCAGACCCAGGGATCCCACGTATGCACAAACACCAGGACGAAGGTTTTTTCCAATTTTCGGCCTCTGGGGGCCCTCGCCGGGCCCCCGGATCGTCAACAAAACGACTCAGGATGAAAAGCTGGTCTTGGGGAGTAGGTCTAGACTTCGGGGGACCGCGCATTGAGCAAAATCACGACATCGGATCTCTGGGGGGCAACCGTAGTTTAAAATTGGAACAGGTGCATGACCAGTGGGGGGCTGTTTTTTCCATCCCAGGACTTGACAAAACCGACAGTCGAAGGGCTTCTGAGAGGGTCCAAGCCCTGCTCGAGCACTCGTCTAGCGTGCTCGGGCCATCGCTGTGAGGGACAAGCTGGTGAGTTAGATATGAACTCCTTAGGGTCCGCGTGGACTTCCTGCATCGGCACTGGACCCCCCTGACCACGCTCCCGGCGCCGCCTCCCTGGTGCAGTCCTCGCGCCAGGGAGGAGGGGGGGGGCGACACGGACCCGAGGTCCCCGCGCGGGCCTCGCTCACGCTTGTTCGGGTGTAGTTGTTTTTTTGTTTGTTGCTGTTTTTTTCTCTGATGCTTCTTACTACGTTTGCTCTTATTCTGATGTTTGGTATTTAATCGCTTCGCTCATTCCGCCGGCCCGTATTTGCCATCGCAGGCGTTTGCTTGCGCGTTCGTGGCCTCTTGGAGCCTCGGTGGGGCCGTTTGGGGCCTCTTGGCGCCTCTTTTTAGGCCTCTTCGAGAACTCGGGAGGCCTCCAGGGGGCCTCCTGAGCTCTCGTGACGGTCTCTTGGGGGGCTTTCGGCGGGCTCTTGGCGGTATTTGTTGGTCCTCTTGGGGCCTGGGGCCTGACGTTGTTGGTCCTCTTGGGGCCTCACGGGAGCTTATTGGGGCGTCTTGGGGGTGTCTTGGAGAGTCTCTTGGGGCCTCTTTCGGGGTCCTGGGCGCCTTCTGGGGCGGAGGGCTCGATTTTTCAGTTCTCGGTTCCCTTCTTGAGCCCCTCTTGGGCCCGTCTTGGGGCCTCTTGGTCCGCCTTGGGCAGCACTTGGGCCGTCTGGGGGGCGCTCTTGGGCCGCTCCGGGGCCGTCTTGGGAGCCTCGTGGGCCGTCTTGGAGCAGTCTTGAAGGCCTCTTGGGCCCTCTTGGAGCGTCCGGAAGCGAAAAGGCCAGAACGCAAAAAAACATAGAAAAAAACAATGAAAATCAACGATTTTGGCAACTTGGGGCCCTCTTCGGAGGCCTCTTGGAAGGCCCTTGGAGCGTCTTGGAGGCCTCTTGGGCTGTCTTGGAGCCATCTGGGGCGTCTTCGGGCGATCTTTTTCCGTCTCGGGCCTCTCTTGGACCGTCTAGAAAGCTTCTCGGGGCCCTCTTGGACCGATCTGGAGCCCTCTTGGACTCCGAAACATTAGTGAGGGGGCCGTCTACAGGAAGGGGGGGCCACCCAAAAACGCTAACAGCCAGGCCGGGGGGCACAACTAAAATGTAATATTCAAAATTACGTTTTTGTCCGAAGGCATGGTTTGGAAAATCCAGAATTATGGTTTGTTGTTGTTTTTGCCCTGAAGGGCTGTGTGTGCTTGGATTCAGAAATCGTGATTTTATTGTGGGAAGGTTTCGCCTCTTTCGCCCTTCTGGAAGTGTTGTTGCACGATGAACGCCACGTGCGAAACATGTTTGTGGGGAGTTCCGTGTGTAGTTTCATTCGCGGTTGATCGCGTAGTTGGTTTCGTTACTGTTCGTATCCATCACGGTCCACCCAGCAATAGTACCCAGGCGAAATGTCTTGATCAGGGAAGTGCGGGAACATTCCGTGTAACGAAGAGAAATTGATGGGGAAGCCGTCAAACTGAATTTCGTGGGTCAGCCTGGGCACGCCCGGGCGCGAATGCACATTCGCGGCCCTTGCCGAAACAGGCAGGGCGCAGAAGAATGATGAGGAGGCGGGGGAGGGGGAGGCGGGGGAGGAACACGAGGAGGACGAGGACTAAAAGGAAGAAGGGGGGAGCGACGGGAGTAGCAGGAAAAGGGCGAGCAGAAGTATGATGACATTGACTGCGCAAGCTTTGGGGGGGAGGAGGAGGAAGAGGGGGAGGAGGAGGAGAAGGAGGAGGGGGATGAGGAGGGGGAGGAGGAAAGGAGGAGGAAGTGGAGGAGGAGGATTGGGCGAAGAGGAGGAGGAGGAGGAGGAGGAGGAGGAGGACGAGCGTACAACGCGCACGCGCGCGTGCGCGCGAGGTGTGATGTCTGCATCGTTCTCAGCGGTCTGGCAACGAAGGGGCCTGGAAACGAAGGGGTTGTTGGGCGGTGACCGAATGGGTGTTCCAGGTAGCGCGGGGCTGCAGCGCGCCAGCCAAGTGGCTCAGCGCGCAACGCGCCCGCGCGCGCGCGCCGGCGCGAGCTGTGAATTCTGTATCATTTATAATAGAAGTGCCGCAATGTTGGCATGGACGCTCAAGTGGTCCCCTAGCGGAGACCGATTGGATTTCCGATTCACCATGGGTTTGTAGCGCGTCGGTGAAGTGGCTCAGCGCGCAACGCGCCCACGCGCGCGCGCGGGCGCGAGCTGT